ATAAAACATTTAAATTTCAGATCCAAGAAGGGATCTTTTGAAGAGTAAGTTATGTTTTTTTATATTTTGAAATGAATCTATATTTATGTATGTGTATATCGTTACCCAGTGATCGTTTTGGCTTAAAGTCCTCCGCTAATAATTCACCAACTGATGATATACCCATTATACCAGATTTGGATGACATTAAAGATGACATGTTAATGAGTGAAATTGCCGAACCACCTTCGTAAGTGCACCAATATAATTACGAAATTGAAAAAATAATTAAAAAAATAAATATTTTTAGAGTTGCAGTTAATCGTGTGGTTACTTTGAAGGAATTAAATTCAGATTTATTGGCTCAGAATGCATTTTCGGCCATAGAAGATGTTGACTTATCAATTTTAACGAAATGCTTGCAACCTCAAGAATCTTTAGATGAAGCTGATGAGGTGTGGGAATGGGAAAAACTTTTTACGGATGTAGTGGCGGAAATAAATGCAGACAAGCCACTGGAAAATAAAATGAAAAATTTAGAATTAAGACCAGATGAACTGCCTAAACCAAATAATGATTAACTAGAGAGACATTCACTGTAATTAGCTACATAACTTATTTATGTTTTTTTTATTAAATACTTAATTACATTATATTAGGCTTTTAAGTTACAATATTTAAAGTAAATACATATCGTCTACTTAGTTTAGAAAGGTCAATATTTTGTTTAAATTAATTTGCGGTTTTAATAAATTTTCATTTACCTTCTGGACAGTTTTCAAAGAAGTCAGTAAGTCCAAATTAATGTGACGATAGTTATATTAAAAAAAATCCCAAAAAATGATCACAATAAAATAGATTATAGTAATCAACTATAGTCTAACATCCACTGGTGTGGCCGCGGGTACTGGCGAATCATTATTGTTAATGCCGCCACTAGTGGTGGTAACAGTGGCATCTTTCTCCAGCAAAACTTTTGTAGTTTTTCGTCATCTATTAGACCATATTCGTCGGTGTAACCCATCAGCATGCAAACCATTGGCGACTCGAATACCAAAATATATTGGCAGGTTTTGGGCTCCAAGAGGTACATGGAAACAGCCGTAGGATTCATTGAACCCAAGCCGCTGCAAGTCAACTTGACATCAACTTCTCGCGGCAAACCGGTACGATCACATTTCGAACCTTTTTCATAATGATGCCAAATAGAAGATGATTGCTCTTGTGGCCTCTTATCTGGATTCATTTGTATCCACTGACGATGAGCCTGGGTATCAAAGTGGCCTAAAAATAGTTCAGTTTCCGACTTTTTATCTTTGTGAAATTGTCGTACATAGTTGCCATAGCAAAATTCATATTTCCACCAACCAGATCCCTGTAAAAAGGAAATTCTTGTAATAAATAAAATAGTTCTTCTCCCTAATATCAACTCCTTCTTACCCCAGTCAAACATGTTGTGCCCTTAATAAATTCCAAAAGTGGTGATATGTCAGAGACAACCGGCGACGTAGGCGGCTGCTTAACTACAGTACTTTCACCGGTTGTGCCTTCTTGTGGCATTATTAAACCATTACCACGTTCCTTGATTAAACTAAATACCAATTTATCAACATCATCACCTAAACGATTCATAAAAACAAACCGTTGTTCGTCATTAGTTTTTTGCACCAGTGTAGAGGCAGCGTCATTACCTTCTTTTGACATAGGTAAATCATCGAATGACAATTGCATATCGCTCAATTCTTGTCGCAGCATACTCAAAGGCTTATTAGGCTCTGTGGGAGAATTGTAGCATTTAATGGGAACCTCCTTATACTCCTCCGGATGGAAAGCCAAGAAGGCACATAGAGCGGATGTTAGAATTATGGCTTCATAATTACACGATGAGGTCTCTTTGAATGAATAGATTTCATTTTTGCCATGAGGATAACAGACATAACGCAAAACAGTGGTACGTGGAGCATTTATTATATCACAAATTGTGCCTCCTGTTAGTACCATTTCAAAGTAAGGATAATTTATGTTGTCGATTTTGGTTGTTTTATATTTGATAGGGCCGGCTTTGCTCTTTTCTTTCCCATTCCTCTTCCATTTTCTTAAAATCTTCATCATTCCTTTTGCCCAAATAGTATTCCTGAAATTTAACAGCTTTGCCCTCGCGTTCTTCATGATATTGGCGTACATGATAGCCATGGCAAATTTCATACGACCAGTAGGCCTCAATGCGGTAGGAACAACTGGGTTTAGTAAACATGGGAGTAAGCAAAATAAGGGGATCTAAAATATTTTACATTATACTTTTAGTTAGGCAAGAAAAGTGTTTTTCTAAAAATTACTCACTTATATTTCCTTTATTGTAGATTTCCTCTTCTTTTGCTTCCTGGACATTGGGTATGACACAATCATACTTTTCATGTTCATGGGTATAAAATGTACGCACATGTTCTTTGAGTTCCTATTTTTTTTTTGTAATCATTAATAATAATTAAAGTTATTAGAGATTTTCATCTTTCAAATAGGTACTTACAGGATTTTTATCGAAATCTGGAACATCAAAATCAATTTTGTACAAGATTGTATCGTCAAAGTCTTTGGCATCGTGCGCTTTGGCTAATAAATTGTAATTAGTGACTAATAGCAGCCATGTTAGCAAATGTATTAAATATCCTTTTTCCAACATTGTATCAGACAAATAAATTAATTTTAATCATTAATTTATTTGATTTTTCTTTTGCAGTTCTATTGTTTTTCGGCTACGTGTTTTTTTCCTCTTCGATAGATTTATTGTCAAATGTCAAACGCTATTGTGAATTATTTGTTTTGGTTTTTGTTATTGTACTGTATAAACTAATTAAGAATCAGCTGTTTTGTTTTTGCTGAGTCTCAACAAAAAATCATTTTTTTTTTAATTTTGCACGAATATTATGAAAATCAAATAAATATTTTAACTTAAAGCATGAAACTACCTAAATTAAAAAATAAATTTAGGTAGAGGGATTTACGTTTACATTAAGAGCGGGTTTTTTGAGTTGGCAATTAAATGCCAATTAATAATCGGATTAGTTAATCTAAAAATAAATGTAATCTAATGTTAATCCCCTTTTGAATGTTTTATACAAAAGAAGAAGACAATTGTAAGAGCGGGTTTTTGAGATGGCAATGAAATGTCAATTAAAAATCAAATTAGTTAATCAAAAAATAAATTTAATCTTATGTTAATCCTCTTTGATGTTTTTGAATGCAAGATTAAACTTCGCAGTTTTGCCATACAAAACAACAGAAAACGTCACTGTTATCAAAACAAAGCATATTTTATAAAAAAGAAGAAGACAATAATAATTTATACTAATCAATAAATAGAACATTTTAATGTTTATAAATAGAAAAATAGTATTAATTTTTTTGCATCAGCTGTTTGTTTACACTTTTGCATTTCGTGCTTAAGTTTAAACCACCTCCATTGGGCGCTTAAACTTGCAAACAAAATTAACTAATTGAGTACTCAAAAACATCTTTCGAGGATTAATTTTAATTTAATCGCTAATCTTTCACCTAAAGATTGGCCCTAAGTGTATTATGAAAATTGACGAAAATAAATTAATCAATAAATAAACATTTTAATGTTTAATTTTATAAAAATTGTATTAATTTTTTGGCATCAGATGGTTACACTTTTACATTTCATGCCCACGTTTAAACCACCTCCACTGAGCGCATAAACTAGCAAACAAAATTAATTGAGTAGGTATGTAAAAATTCCCGGATTAATTTTAATTTAATCGCTTATCGTTTATATAAAGATTGACTCTAAGGATATTTATAAAGAATATCTTTGTGATATTAGTGTTTATAAATGCATTTTTGAGCTTGAAGTCATTTTCTCAAGTGGACTTTGTATGGGGCTAGGGTCAAATGAGGCCGATCATAACAAACATTATATAAAACTATGTATGTATGTTAGAAACAACTTCTCATAAATTTGCCTTTAAAATATTTGAATTGTTTAAAAATCTCTTGTATTTGCTGAGATATCGTCCGTTGAAATTTTTGCTGTAAAATAAAGGCAATACCTATATTTTATTTTTTGGAACTTATAGTTGTATATCGAAACCTTTATTTTAAAGTCGACTGAATGGACTTTTCGACGGCACAACAAATTTGATTAATAAAGATGTCTTGCACTGTTATAATGCTCAAAAAAACGGTGGTTTTCAGTTTCTGGACTGGATATCCGGAAAACCTGCTGTGATCGAGATATTTTGAAACCAGATTCTGATTCTGCGTTGCTCAATCCGAAGTCTCTGGGTTTCGACTCTTTTCACATTTTGTTGATCTATGGTATCTTAAATAACTTTCCGATGACATAACAGATAAATATGGCAAAACAGTTTTTTTCAATCTATGACACGCTATTTGGAAACCTGATGCAATGGAGATATTTTGAGACCAAATTTGGATTTTGCTCAATCTGAAGTATACTTTGGTCTCTGGGTTTCGACAATTTTTAAATTTGTTGATCTGTGTTATTTAAGAAAATTATCACGTTCAATATGGCGTAATTTTATCACTTCCTACAATTATTAATTTTTCTAAAATCTTATAATAAAAATTAAAACGTTGTAATACGAATTTAGTCACGTAGCTAAAACGTTTGTTTGCTAAATATTGTAAATACTAGAACAAAAACAAACAAACACTCTATAGAAATCAATAAATATTTAATTAATATACATACCTACATACAAACATATTAAAAAAATTTTGATATACAAAATGTTTTTTTTTTTTAATAAAATGTGTTTAATATTTAACAAGACGCAATTAAAACAATTCGAGAGTAGAGAGTAAGAGAGACAGAATTTGTTTATTTCTATATACAAACAAATATAAAGGTCTTCGACAGGTTTATTAAACTACGTTAATTTAAATATTAAAAAGAAAATGCTAAACTTGCAATAAATTTAGCTGATATAAAAATGTTTACATTCATACCTACAAATTTATGTACCTAGTCTAGAATGTTATTGTAGGACTAAGACGTACCAGTTGTCTGTTGGAAACAAATATTGACTTATTAATGGAATATTTTCGATAGACAAATAAATATCTCCTCTCATTTAATTAAGTATGACCATGTGATTAGTGTTCATAAATTTTCTTAAGTCGGTTAATTTCTGATAATTTTTTCGAGTATATTTTGAACTACACATCAGGTTTTTAAGATATCATGTCCTAAAGTTTGAAAAATTCGTTTTATGCCATATTTGAGATGTAACAGCGCGAAGATACCTTTATTTATAAAGTACATACATATGTTATATAAAATAAAGAGTAACTTTTGTTATATCTCCTTATATCTTCGATATATCTTAATCCAAAGCTACTTTTAATTCAAACAAATTCAAGAACTTTAACCGGTGATATCTCAGCAAATACAATAGACTTTTAAACAATTCAAAAATTATTTTATGGAAAAATTATAACATGGAACAACGGAAATTTGATTTTTAGCATAAATGAATATTGTTTTTTTTTTTATTGCAAAACACCTTTTAAAAACTTGCATGTAAACTTTTTAAAATTTTATTACTATATATTATTAAAACAATAAATAAAAAAAAAAAAATAAACTGCCTCAAGGTAAAATCATAAACAAATACTAAAATAAACTTTAATGTGTAGAAAATAGAAGTATACAAAAAAAATAAAAAATAGCCGCTTTTTACATTTTGTTTTTATTCTTATCTTCTAAATAAACAAAAAAAATTATAAAGAACTATAAATATTTTTTTACGTATTATGTATTTGTTTATAAGTATGTATGTACACAATATTATTTCTTGTTTATAAACTTTATAAATAAAATACATGTGTCCATGTGGAAGATTTTTGCGAATAAACAAATGTGTTATGTCGGGTAAAACACGTAGACCAATTTGGCATACAAATTTACGTTTTTCATTAATTTTTTAGTTGTTTACGATATAGAATTATATGGTATATTATATAATTTTCAACAGCTTTCAAAACTTTTTCGAAATTTCGATTTTTTTTTTTTTAAGAATTTTGTTGACTCAGTGTTTCTTTGGGAATATTTTCGGATAATACCTTAAAAGGGGATTGGAGGATAATTTCATAGGCCAACAAATTTTTAAACCAGAGACCTAATCCGAATCTGGCATTCATTACATCAGGTTTTCCAGATATCCCATGTGAAGTGAGAAAAAAAGTTTTTTTTTTGAGATATTTTAGACCTTTATTTATAAGATTCTTAATGTCATCTGAATGTCCAATATGTCGATTTTAAAATAATTTTTAGCTCTACTATATTTTCTTTCATCTTCCAGATATCTTAACCTATAGCATGGAATAACCATACATTTACAAAAATGCATTTTTACTTCATTTAACATTAGTCTTTGCTGAGTTATCGTCCGTTAAACTTTTTGCTGTAAAATAAAGGCAATACCTATATTTTAAAGTGGTTTCAAACGTAAAGTTATCTCGGAGAATGGAAAAGATATAATAGTCGTTAAAACCTTTATTGTAAAGTGGATAGATTGGACATTCAGATGAATACAGTTATAAAGTCTCAAATATGGTCTAAAACGGGCTTTCTCCAAAGTTCATGACACGATAGCTTGAAAATCTGAATGTGATTCGGATTCAGCGCTACTCTATCCTCCTTGCCTTTGTCTCTGAGTTTCGACTTTTTAAAATTTTATGTTATTGACAGAACTCTGAAGAATTAAATAATTTCTTAAAATAAGAAATTTTTATCAAATAATATTTCACTAATCTTGAAAAAAACTGATTTTCTATAAAAAGATTGAAACAGGATCAATAATTTTTCGATCCTCATGAATCATATTATGATAGAAATCGATAATCATTTGTCATTTGTCAAAAATCTAACGCGTTTTGTGTGTGAATTTTTCCAGCAACTGTCAAAAAGCAAAATACGTTTTCCTCGCAATTTTTAGTGGACTATTCGGATATGAAAGTTATGGCCTATTTATGTCGAGACATATAGAAATTGCTTTCATAATCATGGGTTTTTGGGTTTGGACGGATTCGTTAGATTCGGTTCTTATAATAGTTTTAAACTCTATCAGAAGTAAATTTTATAATAAAATTTCAAATCAATAAGAATTAAAGAAACTGGTCACCCCATTCGAACATTTTACAGAAACAACAAATTAGGGTTCTATAAATCGACTTTCGAATAATCGAACAATCGACTTTTTGTCGAAAAAAGTCGAAAAGTCGAAGTCGACTATTTTGTTCCAAAAAAGTCGATAACTCGTCTATCGTCTATGAAAAAAGTCGAAAAGTCGACTTTGTAAATAAAAGTCGAAAAAAGTCGAAAAGTCGGAAAGTCGAAAAAAGTCGAAAAGTCGAAAAAAGTCGATAAGTCGAAGAAAGTCGAAAAGTCGAAAAAAGTCGGAAAAAGTCGAAAAGTCGGAAAAAGTCGAAAAAAAAAGTCGAAAAGTCGAAAATAGTCGAAAATTTTAAAAAAGTGGAAAAGAGGTCAAAAACTCTAAAATGGTCGGAAAAACTCGAAAAAAGTAAAAAATAGTCGAAAAAAGTCGAAAAAAAAGTCGAAATAAGTCGAAAATAGTCAAAAAGTCGTAAAAAAATCGAAAAGTCGAAAAGTCGGAAAAAGTCGAAAAGTTGAAAAAAGTCGGAAAAAGTCGAAAAAGGTCGAAAGTCGAAAAAAGTCGAAAAGTCGAAAAAAGTCGAAAAAAGTCGAAAAGTCGAAAAAAAGTCGAAAAAAGTCGAAAAAAGTCGAAAAAGTCGAAAAGTCGAAAAAAGTCGGAAAAAGTCGAAAAGTCGGAAAAAGTCGAAAAGTAGAAAAGTCGACCATTTATAAAATACTAAAAGTCGAAAAGTCTAAAAGTCGACTTTTAAATAAATGAAAAAGGTCGAAAAGTCGAAAAATCGACTTTTCATAAAATGGAAAAAGTCGAAAGGTCGAAAAGTCGACTTTTAACTAAATGCAAAAAGTCGAAAAGTCGAAAAGTCGACTTTTCGTTTCAACTATAGAACCCTACAACAAATTGGTTTTTATTATGAGTCATATGGTTTTGCAAGTCTTTGTCTAGTAGTAGTGGCAACACCTTTTTAAAACAAATCAACCAAGAAAGTTTATTTTACTCAATCTTTACAAGTTTTTATTAATTTAAAATAAACTAGGAAATATTAATAAAATATAATGATTTCTACCAGTACTTCAGACTTTATTAAAATCAATATAACAAATTCCAAGACGGATAATATTGCATTTGATATTAAATTTCCGAAATCAATGACAGTTGGTGAACTAAAGAATAAATTGCAAATTATTACTGGTGGTAATGCCGGCACAATGGTGGTTGAACTAATGAAAGGTGACCAATTAATGACGTCACTCGCAGACGATTCCATGATGTTGGGTGCATTGCCCATAGAACCAGGCATGAGATTTCATGTCAAAGATAACTTCTGTTGGGATTTAAGTGATGAACCGGTGGAAAAGTTTGTTTTGGCCGAGTCAGAATATGATCAGAAAGAAAATACGGTTAGAAGTTTCCTGAAACGCAACCGCATGGGCAAGTACAACGAAGAGGAACAACAACGAGAAGACGCCAAACGCAAGGAGAAGGAAGAACTGGAAAAACAGAAGGCTGCTTTATGCACAGTAGGTTCGCGCTGTCAGGTTACAGTTAAAGGTTGTCCCACCCGTCGTGGCACAATCATGTACAATGGGCCTTTGGAGGGTAAATCTGCTATATTTATCGGAGTTAAATATGATGAACCATTAGGCAAGAATGATGGTTCAGTGCAGGGTCATCGCTATTTTACTTGTCCACCCAATTACGGTGGCTTTGTTTCGCCACTTGCCGTAGAAGTTGGTGATTTTCCTGAGGAAGATTTTAACTTAGAAGATGAAATCTAAATCCATGGTATAGATCTATATGAAAATCTTTGGAGACACAAAATAAATCTCAGTTGATAGAAATATGCATACATACTATACTTGTCGTATAGAATACTTTTTTGTTATAATAAAAGAAGAAACAAAAAAAGGAAACGTAATTACGAATGACCTCTTTTATTCTTCAGCTGCTTCATAATTAGTAGATAAGATTTTAATTTAGTATATAAATACTGATATTATTAATAATTAATTATTTAAAATAATAATAAATTTAAAATTAACTTACAAAGTATTTCGCAATTTTTATAAAAGTCTTTTTGAATTTAAAACTTATGTTTCTTTTAGTTTTAAATATTTTATAAAAAAATAAATTTACTCATCACCTAATGCATTTCAAAATTAACGTTGTTTAAATGTATGACTATATTTTATGTCTACTTATTAAGGGTAACTATTGGAATAGAGAAATCGGTATTTTTAAGACACTCAGAATGAAACACACTTTGCTATTATCTGATTGTAATCAGAAAATATTCGACTTATTTCGAAATTAATCGAAACGTTATTTACTGGTTGTATCATGGTTTTAAATATTTTATAAAAAAATAAATTTACTCATCACCTAATGCATTTCAAAATTAACGTTGTTTAAATGTATGATTATATTTTATGTACTTATTAACGGTCACTATTGGAATAGAGAAACTGGTATTTTTAAGACACTCAGAATAGAAAACACTGCTATTATCTGATTTTAATCAGAAAATATAATTGTCTTACCTATTTCGAAATTAATCGAAACATTATTTAATGTAAAACAATTTCGAATTAATCATTAATGTAAGAAATTGTGAAAATCGGTCCACATTAAACCCTAGCCTTTAGTAGATTACCGTCAGAAAATGACTTACATATGTTCAGAAATTAAGTATAAATTTAGTGAATGAATTAGTGATGAATTACGGCACAAATACATTTTAGAAGCGTTTTCGACGAGTTGAGCCTAGGCACCATTCAAAAATCGCTTGAATTTGAGATTGAATTGTTAAAAAAAATCTATGAAATCCTGTAGAATTTATTACATTTTATTGTTGTTGTAACTGAGGCACACGTGTTGTTGAGAACGGTTTGACACAAGATCCGGTAGAGGGCATCTTGCAAGCAACTTAATCTTCGTAGATTTGTAGTTAATCCTCGTAGATTTGTAGTTAATCTTCGTAGATTTGTAGTTAATATTGATATGATAGATAGATAGATAGATAGATAGATAGATAGATAGATAGATAGATAGATAGATAGATAGATAGATAGATAGATAGATAGATAGATAGATAGATAGATAGATAGATAGATAGATAGATAGATAGATAGATAGATAGATAGATAGATAGATAGATAGATAGATAGATAGATAGATAGATAGATAGATAGATAGATAGATAGATAGATAGATAGATAGATAGATAGATAGATAGATAGATAGATAGATAGATAGATAGATAGATAGATAGATAGATAGATAGATAGATAGATAGATAGATAGATAGATAGGTAGATAGATAGATAGATAGATAGATAGATAGATAGATAGATAGATAGATAGATAGATAGATAGATAGATAGATAGATAGATAGATAGATAGATAGATAGATAGATAGATAGATAGATAGATAGATATATAGAAAGATAGATAGATAGATAGATAGATAGATAGATAGATAGATAGATAGATAGATAGATAGATAGATAGAAAGTTCTTCCCCTTCATCATTGGCACCTACGGAGAATAAATAAGGCGCCTTTTTCTGATCCTTGTCGACCTGCGTACTGGAATATTAGACCGCTGTGATGAAGAGGATCCAGGGTTCCCATCATGTGTAGTTGCTGCTTCTAATTTTGGTTGGATTGGCTGAACTTCCTTTCCTGGACTTTGGTTGGCTAGTTCACTACCAGTATGGCACTCACTTCCTTCCGTTGTTGTTGTTCTTGAATATGAGCTGAGTTGGGTTGGTGTGAAGTAGTTCAAGTCGCTTCCAGACACTTCACTCCTGCCTTGTGGTGACATTTGAATAGAGGAAAATCTTCTAATACCTGGATCTTGAATGCTGGTTTGTGTCTTGGGTGTTGTTCTGCTAGTAACATCGCCTTCATCAGGAACACCAGTATTCCTTATTTGGTCTATATGACGTTTAACACGTTTACCTTTATAGTCCACTTCGTAATGCAAGTCACCTAAGCGTGTTAACATAGTGCCAAACAACCACTTTTCCATTCGTGGATTTCCAGACAAAAACTGTACCCTTGCGCCTTTATCAATTGTTCTATACGTTGGTGTGAATTGCATGTATTGCTTTTCCATAACTGAGGTTGGAATGTCCGTAGGGTAGACGATATCCAATCGAGTACGAATAGTACGGCCTAAAAACAATTGTGAAGGGGACTGACCCGTTGTTGAGTGTGGGGCTTTTCGATATTGTCTGAGAAATTCATTGAGGTTTTCCTGAAGAGTGCGTCTGGTTGTGCCCATATTCTTTAAGGCATCCTTAACGGTCTGCACGTATCTTTCCACCTGTCCGTTGCTTGATGGATGGTAAGGAGCTGTTCGTTTGTGATACTTAACACCAACAATGCCGAGATAATTTCTGAATTCGGCGGAAGTAAAGCAAGTTCCGTTGTCAGAAACAATGGTAACGGGAACCCCGTAAGCAGCAAAAAGCTCATCAAGCACATTTACCGTCGCTGCAGTGCTGACTGAGTTAGTAATCTTCACCTCGACCCACTTACTGAAAGCATCAGTAATTATTAGCAACATTGCGCCTTCAAAAGGACCGGCGTAGTCAACATGGATACGCTCCCAGGGTCCTTTGGGATATTCCCAGTGGTGTTGGCGAAACTTGGCTGGGTTGTGGGCATTACGAGCGCAGTCAGCACATTTTCGAGCAATGTTCTCTATATCAGCATCGATGCCAGGCCAATACACAAATGATCTCGCCAGCCCTTTCATCTTAACGACACCCAGGTGTGCAGTATGCAGGTCGTCCAGTATTCGTCCACGAAGGCTGTCGGGAATTACAACTCTGTGATCATAAGTAAGGCAGCCAGTAGTGAGTTTGTAATTAGTTTCAGGTTCTCTGAATCCATATTGTTTCAAATTCTTTCCTTCTTCAAGTAAGCGTAAAATATGTCCCAAGTGCTCATCTTTAGATGTCTCACGAACAACTAATTGGTTTCTTACGGGAAGTTGTCTTATCTGGTTGATCATAAAATTATCGAAGCCATCGTAATCCCACTTTGGTGTTGTATTGGGATCATGAGTCTGGATTTGTAATATTGTGTCGTTGCGGATTGCTCTAGAACAATAATCCGCATTAATATTGGCCTTGGTATTTCTAAATTCAATATCAAAATTTGATAAAAAATCTGCATAATTTGACATCCTGCTGATGCATAATACTGGTAACGATTTGTGAGGGTGTAATATCTGGGACAAAGGCTTGTGGTCGGTGACTAAAGTCCAATGTCGTGCATACAAGTACAAGAAAAACTTCTGGACAGCCCAAACGATGGCCAGGGCCTCTTTATCCATTTGGGGGTACTTCTGTTCCGTGGGTGTTAAAGTGCGGCTTGCATACGCCACTGGTCTTTCCAGTTTGTTGGCAACTCGCTGTGACAAAACAGCACCTAGGCCAGTTTTGCTCGCATCCGTAGCCAAAACAAGAGGTAGGCTCGGATCATACGGCATAAGCACTTGAGGTGATATTAAAGCTTTTTTAATATCTTGATATGCATCCTCTGCTGCATCCGTCCAGATAAATTCATCATTCAAAAGTACATCTCGGAGCGGCCGATCTCTAGTGGACAAGTTTGGGATAAATGCACTGTAATACGTAGCCTTGCCCAAAAACAGTTGAAGCTCCTCTACATTCGTGGGTTTGGGTGCATCTCTAACCGCCTCAATATGTTTATCCGATTTATGAATGCCGTTAGAATCAATTTTGTGTCCAAGAAACTCAACAGCGGGAGCCGCAAATACACATTTACTACGGTTAAGGCGCAGTCCTTGTTCCCGTAGTCGGTCTAGTGTTGTCTGAAGGGCAAGAAGCATAGCATCAAAATCGACAGCGTAAATTAACATGTCATCAAAAAAATTACATACATTCGCAACGCCCTGTAACACCGTTTCCATTCGTCGCTGCCATATGGCAGGGATATTTGCCGCACCGTATACGGCCCTGGTAGGACGAATGAGTCCATGTGTTGGCGTATTAAGTGTCAAGGCGTGACTAAATTCTCTATCTATTGGTAAGTGGGAATACGCATCAGTAATGTCAAGATGACAGAAAATTTTGGCCCCACTCATTTTGTTAAACAGATGTTCAGCACGGGGAATTGGGTATTCGTCTATAATTATCCTCGGATTCAGTGTGGGTTTATAATTGCCCGTGACTCTAATCTTACCGTTCTTCCTGGTGACGACATGTGTGGTCGATGCCCATTCCGAGAATTCAACGCGTTCATAAAACCCAGATGCTATTTTGGAATCGATTTCGGCAGCATAGGATTCACGCAGTGCAATTGGTATTTCCCTCGCTTTTGAGAATACCGGTGTAATATCAGGTTTAAAATGGCATTTTATGGGTGGTCCGACTAATTTACCTGCTGTTTCGCCAAAGACATCGTCATATGAATTCAAAATCTGCTGAAGAGTTTCATTCTGAGTAGAAGTCAATGATGGCGTGGCTACTTTTATAGTATTTACCTGATCCGATGTCGAAAATAGTTTCCTAAAATCGATTTCCTCCGTAAACTGTGAAATCCACTCCCTTCCAAACAGGGAGTCGAATTTGCCATCAACTACATAAACATTAAGTCTGCGAGTTGTTGCACCCACCTTGACGTTCACTGGTGCCCGACCCAAGCATTGTATCTTGTGACCCGTGTAGCTGCAAAAATTTCTATCCGTCCTCCGCAGACGACCAGTAGCTTTAATTTGCTGATATTCAATCTTGCTTATCATTCCGCATGGAGCACCGGTGTCCAATTCCATTTGGATGGCGGTACCATTTATAGTTGTACTTATCATTCTCTTACATGTTTTCACGTCATTTAATTTATGAATACTCTCCACGAAGTCTATTTCAGTTTCGGGCTCCTCGGTCAGTTGAGATGTTTTCGAATTACACACTCTAGAAATGTGGCCTGTCTTTCCACAACTATAACACGTAGCATTCAAAAATTTACATCCTTTCCTTTGATGCTGGCCACCACAACCATAACAAACCGTATTCGACCCCTTCTGTTCATTAGTATCTCTCTTGATACGATTGTCACCTTGTCTCATATTAGGGGCGTGCTTTCTCTCGTTCCTTCGTTGTGAAAAAGTACCTACTTTATTCGTGAGGTCAGCAGATTGGGGTAATGTTACTGATGTTTTCATGTCAGTTGTCGTCTGATGAGATGATTCCAAAGCGTGAGCAATTTCGTATGCCTCTCTAAACGTAGAAGGTTTCTTCGCAATGATCTCATCACAAATGGGTTGTGATTTCAATCCCACTAAAAATTGTTCAATCAACATTCTGTCAAGGAATTCCGCATACTCACAGAATGATGTTGCCTGTTTAAGCCTCAAAGCAAAATTTGCCATCGTTTCACCATTTTCCTGCAACGTTCGTCGGAACTTAATGCTTTCTGCGTACTTATTCTTCTCAGCATCGAAATGTGATATCAATGCGTTCTTTAACTCACTGTATGTAGCGTTATCAGGAGATCGTGGGCTCATCAGCACTTTCAAAGCGTTATTCAATTCGGCACCAATATTCACTCTGGCATAATTCGCGTATTCTTCTTCAGGAATCTTGCTTAATTTTAAAGCCCATTCGAGTCTGGTAAAATAATCACATACTGTAATTTCGTCTGTAGATCTATACTCCGAGAAAGAAAATGGTGGTGGCTTTGGATTCGTAGAAATTTGTTGATGTGGGACACTGTTCAATACCGCCTGTGTTGCCTGTTGTACTGCCTGCCGGATAGCATCTGCAATCACATTCGTCAACGGTTCAATTTGTTCAGGATTCATGGTCACTGTGGAATTCGCATTTAGAATCCCACTTCTGACACCACTTTTTAAATATAAAGTCTTGGTTACAACAAAAACAAACTAAAGTACGTTTTATTCAAAAGTTAAAAGTAGAATGATAAAACAAGAATTAACATGAATGAAAATGAACATAAGAAAAAATGAATGAATGCAAAATAATGTTGTCAATGTATAAAATAAATCGCCAATTCAGTGTCAAATACACAACAGAAAGATAGATAGATAGATAGATAGATAGATAGATAGATAGATAGATAGATAGATAGATAGATAGATAGATAGATAGATAGATAGATAGATAGATAGATAGATAGATAGATAGATAGATAGATAGATAGATAGATAGATAGATAGATAGATAGATAGATAGATAGATAGATAGATAGCTAGATAGATAGATAGATAGAATAGATAGATAGATAGATAGATAGATAGATAGATAGATAGATAGATAGATAGATAGATAGATAGATAGATAGATAGATAGATAGATAGATAGATAGATAGATAGATAGATAGATAGATAGATAGATAGATAGATAGATAGATAGATAGATAGATAGATAGATAGATAGATAGATAGATAGATACATAGATGATAGATAGATAGATAGATAGATAGATAGATAGATAGATAGATAGCAATAGATAGATAGATAGATAGATAGATAGATAGATAGATAGATAGATAGATAGATAGATAGATAGATAGATAGATAGATAGATAGATAGATAGATAGATATAGATAGATATAGATAGATAGATAGATAGATAGATAGATAGATATAGATAGATAGATAGATAGATAGAGATAGATAGATAGATAGATATATAGATAGATAGATAGATAGATAGATAGATAGATAGATAGATAGATAGATAGATAGATAGATAGATAGATAGATAGATAGATAGATAGATAGATATAGATAGATAGATAGACATAGATAGATAGATAGATAGATAGATAGATAGATATAGATAGATAGATAGATAGATAGATAGATAGATAGATAGATAGATGATAGATAGATAGAAGATATAGAGATAGATAGATAGATAGATAGATAGATAGATAGATAGATAGATAGATAGATAGATAGATAGATAGTAGATAGATAGATATAGATAGATAGATAGATAGATAGATAGATAGATAGATAGATAGATAGATAGATAGATAGATAGATAGATAGATAGATAGATAGATAGATAGATAGATAGATAGATAGATAGATAGATAGATAGATAGATAGATAGATAGATAGATAGATAGATAGATAGATAGATAGATAGATAGATAGATAGATAGATAGATAGATAGATAGATAGATAGATAGATAGATAGATAGATAGATAGATAGATAGATAGATAGATAGATAGATAGATAGATAGATAGATAGATAGATAGATAGATAGATAGATAGATAGATAGATAGATAGATAGATAGATAGATAGATAGATAGAAGATAGATAGATAGATAGATAGATAGATAGATAGATAGATAGATAGATAGATAGATAGATAGATAGATAGATAGATAGATAGATAGATAGATAGATAGATAGATAGATAGATAGATAGATAGATAGATAGATAGATAGATAGATAGATAGATAGATAGATAGATAGATAGATAGATAGATAGATAGATAGATAGATAGATAGATAGATAGATAGATAGATAGATAGATAGATAGATAGATAGATAGATAGATAGATAGATAGATAGATAGATAGATAGATAGATAGATAGATAGATAGATAGATAGATAGATAGATAGATAGATAGATAGATAGTAGATAGATAGATAGATAGATAGATAGATAGATAGATAGATAGATAGATAGATAGATAGATAGATAGATAGATAGATAGATAGATAGATAGATAGATAGATAGATAGATAGATAGATAGATAGATAGATAGATAGATAGATAGATAGATAGATAGATAGATAGTAGATAGATAGATAGATAGATAGATAGATAGATAGATAGAAGATAGATAGATAGATAGATAGATAGATAGATAGATAGATAGATAGATAGATAGATAGATAGATAGATAGATAGATAGATAGTAGATAGATAGATAGATAGATAGATAGATAGATAGATAGATAGATAGATAGATAGATAGATAGATAGATAGATAGATAGATAGATAGATAGATAGATAGATAGATAGATAGATAGATAGATAGATAGATAGATAGATAGATAGATAGATAGATAGATAGATAGATAGATAGATAGATAGATAGATAGATAGATAGATAGATAGATAGATAGATTAGATAGATAGATAGATAGATAGATAGATAGATAGATAGATAGATAGATAGATAGATAGATAGATTTTACTTTTAAATTATAATAATAACAATATTACGTATTTTTATACGTGTAGAATATATTATTTTATAAATTTACCAAATACATAATTGTGTGTGGCACATTTGTATTTTTATAATGTAATATCTACATTCATTTATTTATTTTTCTATAAGAAAAGATTTCTTCTTGATAAGGAATCAATTGTAATGGAATTTTTTTTATTTTATATGCTGTTTTGTAACACCACCGCAATCAGTCGACGAAAAAGTGTTTGTCTTTTTTGTATAAGATTTTTGTTTGTTTGTTTATACATAAACCGGCCTTTTCATATGAAAACTTTTGATTGCTTTTATTTTAAGTGTTTTTTTTTTCATTATGCAATTCATGCATTTCGTCTAAGATACCAGTTTACCATGAAATGTGTAAAAACACACGAGTCTTTAGAGAATACACTTCTATACTATAAGAAATTTCTAGAAGAAATTATTGGAAAAAAAGAACTTTAAACATGGTGTGGAAAAAATCTGGAAAATTTCATGTCTAATATTTTAAAATTATATTTCTATGTAAAAAGTTATCATTATAGGGTTTAATGTTACTATTTCTTCGGATTTTTTAATCAATACAAATATGTTATTTTGATTATCGGTTAGGAATGTGGGAGGCATTGAAAAACCATTGCATACATACATACATATGTATGGATGTATGTAGTACATATTTAATATTATACATTTGAAAGTTTGGGGTCATATTTATTATATATGTATGTATAATATTAATATGCATATGAATGTATGTATGTACATATTTACATACATATATATATCTAATGCACTTTTCATAGACAAAAACTACCTATAAACTTTTCTAAAATACTGATTTACATCAATATACATACATATGTATGTATGTATCAACATTTTATGCGTTGTAAATAAAATTATTTATACCTATATGTATGTACCTATATAGGTACTAATTATAAACGAAATATTTTGTTTTAATGTGATTGCACTAGTGTGGGTCAATTACAAATCAAATGTTTTCAAAACAATTTCTAATGTAGTGAAATTAATTGGTTGTAATAAACCACTTTGAATATTGTTAATTTATATAGATTTGGCTGTTTTTAATGAATTTTGCATAGCAAATTATAAGAAAATTGTTTGATAACTAGAATTTTCTGAATAAGATTTATCGATAACTTTTTTTACAAAATTAAAAAATTAAAAAATTTATCGATAACTTGAATTTACAATTAAAAATATTTCAATAAATTGAGTTTTGTAAAGAAAATTTACTGATATCTTAAAAATGTAACCATTTTTTTTAAATATACCTATTGTATCTACGATAACTTGCGGGAAAGTTTCTTGACTAAAGTTCAAATTGTAGGATTTGTTTCATTTTATATAGATAAATCAAAGTTTTCTTTGATTGTAGGTATACAGAATTTTCTTTTTCTGATTTAAAATTTTATATGTTTTCATTGTTTACATTTGTTTTGGTAACCTTTTTTGTTTAGATTCCTGTTTGTCTAAAACTAGACGAGGTCATATTAAAAATAAATTTATATGTAGATATAAAACACATACATACATACACACACTCTTATACAGAATTCAAAATAATAACAAAGAAAACTAAAAACAAAACAAACTAAATATTGCACTAAACCCCCACACTAAAAAAAACAGCAACAATAAAAATAATAAAGAGAATAATAATAAAAATATAAAAAGAGTATGGAAAATAAATAACTCGTACTATTATAAAAACAAAAAAAGGTTTGTTGCAGCACAAAGCCACCATTTTTAAAAAAGAATGCACTTCAAAATGAAAAAAACAATGATTTATAAAAGTGCAATAACTGTTTAACAAGAGATATTAAATGTAAAGGCCAAACTCGCTGTATTATTAAAAACCGATAACTAAATGAGATTAAATAAAAACAAACACAATTTATATGTTATTTTTAAATTTAACTGTATTTTTATTATTTATATTATAATGAGACATAATTAGTGCAATATTCTTTACTTATCAAATTATAATATAAGGAATTAATAATAATAATAGTAGTAGAGAAATACATGGGGTTTTGCAAAAACTACTGTGATTTCATAAATTGTTGACAAAAAATTATTTATAAATCGCAAAAGTTTTTACAACTAAATTAAAAAAAAAAATAATAATAATAAATTATTTGTATAAAAAATGAAAAACAATAATAATGCCTAAAAATCTAGAGAAAATATGAATTAAAGGAAAATTTTGTTAAATTTTTGGATTAAGTTAGAGAGCGAGAATTGTGGGGGCTACAAATAATAGTCTAGCACTGCATAGCAGTGCTAAGCTATAAATGTAGCCACCAGTATCTCCTTATTTAATAAATTTAATAAAGAAAAATTTTTTAGTTTTTATAAAGAGATTTTCTTTTTTTTAGACTTTAAACTTTTCCAATGTGTATTTAGGCTTTTTTTTGTTGAGGGTACTTTCTATATTTTTAGTAGAACTCCTTTCTTTTTTTCTGTTACTTTCTGTTTTGTATACACGTAGTATTCCTTTTTCCTTCCTTTTTTTACTTTCAATTTATTTCTTCAACTTCCTTTTGTTTTTATGTACTTTTTTTCTTCTTTTACTTTTTCTTCAATATCTCAGTGTTTGCTTTCTTTTGTGACGATGTCGCATCAATTTTTGTGTCCAGCACAGGCAAGTTTTCTATTGTTATTGGTATTCATGAATTTGGTTAAAAGTTTTCTGGAATGTCCACTAGGATCGAAATGATTACTGTGTTCATTAACCTCCTTTTTGGAACGATATTTGCCACTATGTGCCGAAAAGACGTATTTGTCCTGGTCATAGTTATAATGATCATAAGCATCAAAATAAGCTTCAGACATCTTGTTGTTCTGCTTGGTTTTTATTTCGCTCAGTATTGTGAAGTAGTTTACTTTTTCTTTATATCACTTTAGATAACTTTTTGCGCTTTTATTTTTATTTTCTTTTGTAAAAGAAATAAATTAATTATACTATATGGCTTTTGTTTTTTTTTTTTTCAAACAAATTTAAACGCAGACTTTTTTAACAGTCCTTCAATACACAGAGTATTTTTCACAATTAAACTTGTTTTGCGTACTACATCGGACTTTTATATATACCCCCAGTGCAACGGTAAAAATAAATGAGCGAGCATAATACTAACACTCTATTAAAGCTATACTAAATAATAAATGTCCTCTCTTATCTATTCAGCCCTCGTTTTCGGTTCTCTCTTTTAGGTAAACGTATGTTTTTTTGTTTTGATTTAAATTAACACTATACATACCGTTGGAATTGTTTGTTAAAGGAAAAAAACTTGTTAAAAGAAGGAAACTATAGTTTTTTAAATAAGTTTTTATTAAATATTTATCGATAAGTTAAATTTTGCATAGAAAAATTATTGGTAACTTAAATTTATCGATGAATAAATTGAAATTTTATTGACGGCTTTAATTATTGTTAAGAAATTAATCGTTGCCATATTTTTCTATAGAAAATTTATCGATAGTTTGAATTTTCTATAGAAAATTTATCGATTATTTAAAATTTTTATAGAAAATGTATCGATAACTTAAATTTTCATTTCCACATAGAAAGCTTTCATCAACGACCAAACTGAAATGCTGCGTAAAACGGCGAGGTCTTTGTTTGCTAGACGCGAAACAGCTCTATACGACTTCGTGCTAGGATCCTAGCTGCTCCTAGAGGCAACAAAACCTTTGGTCTACGGGAGACCTAATGGCCTTCCTTGCCAAAAAAAATTATGTCATTCCATTCACGATTTTGGTGGCTCTAGATATTTCCAAAATTAATTGTATTTGGTATCGTTAATAATTTCACTCGATTCATTTCGAGCTTTCTCAGAGATCGCACTATACGAGTTGTTATTGATGGGATCTAATCAAATCAGTTCAAGAATAATTTAAGAATACCTCAAGGATCCATCTTTCTCCTACTATATTTATTATTTTCATAAATGACCTTCTATGTTAAACTTCCAACTCTATCTACTCGTTTATTCAATTATATGCCAAGTCCTCTAGAGATTGGGTCAATGAAGCATAATATAAATGAACCGCTCAAACACGACTTGACAACAATCTCTGAATGGGGTCGTGTTAACTGAGTTGATTTTAACGCCTGCAAGACCAGGAGCATAGATATCAATAGAATGGCATTAAGTCTTTAAGAAATGTAGTATGTACACAAATAACACATCTGGTTTTCGTTAGTGTTAATTTAACATTGTACTTCCATTTGTGTGAATAAAAATTAATGCGCATTTTCTGATTTTGTGTTTTTCAAAAATTCTTATTGCTTTCTTAATTATTTTGTGTTAAAAAAAAACAAACGACACGTAACATTAAGTTTTTGTTTGTTTTTTTTTTTTTGCTTATTTTATAAAAATTATGTGATAATTATTTTGTATGTATGCGGTTCCTCTCTCTTTTATTGTAACATAAATATATACAATTATATGTATTATATGTACTATATATTTGAATTTTTCTAACGATAACTTTCTCTCTGAAATCTATTTATTTTGTTTACATTTTATGCTGCGGTTTTGTGCTCTTCTTCTTCCACTAAAGAGTGTTGTTTTTATTATTTTTGTTTTTGCAGTTCATTGGTTTGGTTTTATTGTTTACAAAAATTGCTTGGTTTGTTTGTATGTACGTCTAGAAAACCATAGAAATTGACCGGTTTCTTTTAATGTTTTTAATTTTGTTCCATTTTAGCTTTTATCAAATATTTGTTTCTATTAAATTTTAATTTTTCCATTTAATTTGATTATGAAATATTCAATGTTATTTTCATAATATTTATTTTTGCAATTTGTTTAATAACAACAGATAAAAGGTGTTTTCCTAAAATTTCTGCATATGAGTCATTATTCAAGTTTTTGTTTTAGTCTAGTTTGTTTTGCTTATTATTATTATTTCTTTATTTATTTTGCTTATTTTTAAAACCAGTTGTGAGCAAAGAGAGAAGTATATGCTAACGTTTTGTTATTTCTAGAAAACGTTAACGTATTCAGTTTGTATTTTATATTTTTTTAATGGAAATTAGAGAAGTAATATAAAATTTGCTGATCATTTATTACTTTTATTGAAAAAAGATTTTGTATAGGTATAAATTTTAATTCAATGTTAAAAACCGATTAAGGATGGGTTTTTGAGTTGAAGACTAAACAGCAATTTATAATCAGGTTACAAATTACTGCATTAGAAAGCGTTTGAAATCTCTATTTAAATTCTATTGGGATTTCGATCACTTCCAAATGCCGTTATTCGGCTTCAAATTCCATAACATGAGTTTGTAACTACTCAGTTAAACATGGTTTAACTTTGCTGTTAGATTAAATTCGAAGCAAATTTAGACGGATTTCAACCGATGATTGTGTATTCCTGTAATGAATTTAACGGTAAATAATTTTCTTAATATTGCCAATTTTTCAGATATAAACATAAAATCTTTTTTTTTCATAAAAATAGATGTTTTAAAGAAATTTTTTGAAAACACTAATACGTATATTTATTAATAATTATTATAAACATTACCTACATCTACTAAGCTCTTAACACATGCAAATACCTTACAAAAACTTCATTTAAATTTTACTAACATTTATCAATACAACTTTACCTTTTGGCACTATAGGCTTTAATTTTCTTTCCATCACCGTTTTCCGAACACATCTTTTGCGAACTTTTTTCTTATCCTTTTCCTTAGTTGCCATTTTAAGATCTTCATCTGATTTTTGAGAATCCATATCAGAAGGTAAACTTGGCAAAGTAAATTCATCTAAATCGGTTTTTGATTCGAAAGCATTTTCAACTATTTCCGGTAATTCTAATTGCATGGCCTTCTCGGTATGCACACGTTGTACATGCTCTTTTAGTTTATCGGAACGATGACTGCTAAAAGAACATAGTTGACATTTAAATTTACTAATATTATCGGATGAATGTTTCATGGCATGACGTTTGAGATTTTTCGACAAACTAAATTTACAACCACAAATCTCGCACACAAATGGCCGCTCTTGTTTGTGGGTTTCGATGTGTAGTTTAAGATTTTCTTTGCGATTTGCTTGATGATGGCAACCAGGATGGGGACATTTAAAGAACTCGGCGGCATGTCTTAGCTTATGAGATTTAAGAGCTTTCATGTGTGTGGTACTGTAACCACAGACATCACAAAGCATTCGCTTCTCAGCATTGTGCACCTGAAGATGAGTACTGAGTCCCTGTTTCCATTTGAAACCCTTACCACAATGGGGACACAAATGGGGTGTTTCTTTAGAGTGTTTAGGGTGGTGTAATGTGAGAGCGGCTTTGGTCATAAAACGTATACCACATTCTAAACAGAAAAATGGTTTTTTAACATCGGCATCGTGGCGTCTCAAATGGAAATCATACTCGCGCCAGCTTAAAAAGCCTACTTCACACAGAGAACAAGTCAAATGAGAGGCTTCACAATTGCGCATATGTGTTATCATCTCATGGACGCGATAACATTTGAAATCACACGCTAAACAATAGTTTATTTTACTATTCGAGGAAGAGGAACGTGGATTTTTTAACTATAATCCATAAGGAATGAGATGTTAAAAATAATATAAAATATTATTTTAAATACATAGTTAATATCTATTACGGTTTACCTTAAAATAAGTTTTCTTTTCATCGAATATGTTCTGATTTTTACTAAAAGTTGTTTCACCATTTATTACTCCTTCCACTTGTTTCACGTCTTGTTCTTCTTCTACTTTAATTAAGTCCTCTGCAATTCCACTGCATTCACCCTTGGTAATTTCTATAATTTCATTTGATTCCTCAGGTATTTGAAATATTTTCATCAATTCTCCCACTACTAAAATTTTGGCTAATTGCTTAAAATGTGTTTCATGTTCCTTAATAATGGTGACCATATCCTCATAGAAAAAGTCTCCTATAGTCTGCAAACATTCGGTACATTGGAAATTCTTAATTGTCACCTTTAAAGGATTATGTATGGAAAACTGTAAAGTTTTCTGTTGGAAATGAGAGCCGCCTATAAAACGACTTTGTGCAGCCACCACACAAAAGTGACCATAAATTGAATCACCACTTTCTAGTTCAAGTATTAGATCACAGAATTGTCCCTGTCGTCGTTGATCGTTTAGATAATTGGTGACTTTGGAGTGCAGCGGTTGATGTAAAGTTGGTGTGATCATTTGTTGCGGACATTTTATCATCGCTTTTTCACTTTAAAAATATTTAAAATTGAAAAATCTTCCGAATAATTTAATTTGTTTTGATTGTGTTGATGGTGTTTTATTTTTGTTTACATTGAACAGCTGTTAGTTTTTTCATTTTTGTAATTCACAATAGTCTCAATCATGTTATAATGCTGCCGGACTGATGACTTTCTTCATTTCCGTTAGCTAGGAAAGAGAAATTACTAAAATCATTTAATATCAATTTCAAACCATTTATTTCAATTCCTAATACCAGGAAGAGTTAGTTATCTTAGACTTGAAAGTGAGTGAACTAACTAACTAACTAACTAACTAACTACTAACTAACTAACTAACTAACTAACTAACTAACTAACTAACTAACTACTAACTAACTAACTAACTAACTAACTAACTAACTAACTAACTAACTAACTAACTAACTAACTAACTAACTAACTAACTAACTAACTAACTAACTAACTAACTAACTAACTAACTAACTAACTAACTAACTAACTAACTAACTAACTAACTAACTAACTAACTAACTAACTAACTAACTAACTAACTAACTAACTAACTAACTAACTAACTAACTAACTAACTAACTAACTAACTAACTAACTAACTAACTAACTAACTAACTAACTAACTAACTACTAACTAACTAACTAACTAACTAACTAACTAACTAACTAACTAACTACTAACTAACTAACTAACTAACTAACTAACTAACTAACTAACTAACTAACTAACTAACTAACTAACTAACTAACTAACTAACTAACTAACTAACTAACTAACTAACTAACTAACTACCTAACTAACTAACTAACTAACTAACTAACTAACTACCTAACTAACTAACTAACTAACTAACTAACTAACTAACTAACTAAGTAACTAACTAACTAACTTACTAACTAACTAACTAAAGTTTTTATACTATAAAAATATTACAACAATAAACCAAATCAAATCATATTAAAAATGTTTATATTAATTTTTTATAAAAAAAAAACATATTGCAAGTAAAATTTGGTTATAAATTCTTATTTTAAAAAAGGTTGTGCATTTGAATTCCATAATACATATTTACATTTATAAATTCTAATTAAAATAAAAAATATAATAAAATTTTGTTTTAAAACAATTTGTGGCATATGTTTATAAATGCAATAATTTCATTTACTTTCACTAACTAAAATATAACTTTTCTTCTATTATAATCTAAAGCTGTTTCCACAATTGTGGTGCCACGATAAAAATCCACCGCTACTATGTTGGCATTATCGCCCAATTCATTCATGTACAATTGTGAGACACGCCAGTTAATACGATCGGCCATCTTACGTAAACCACCATATTTATTGACTATAACATCCCATGTTTTGGGTGTTAGTTCTGCCATATCGGCTACAGGACGGCTGGAGAGGCGACTGTGAGCAATAGAGGGAAACAGCTTAATTCTGTTTATTTAATTTATGTTTAATTATGTATACTTACGATATATCTTGACCATTTATGGTCCTTAAGTAACGCTCCAAATTTGACCAAGTCTGCACATTACCCCATCTCTGTTCTACGGAGCCAAATAGTAAATGGGGATATATATTAACCACGGAATATAGATCGTAGGCCAGTATAACATTTTGTTTACGCAACCAAATATCATTCAATGATCCTCGCCATGTGATCGAGGGATGTACTATTAAGTCTCCAAAATGATTTTTCAAAAAACTAACCAGTTTATGATGAACCGTTAAATTTTTGCCAAAACCTAAAACAATAATAGTAAAAGGATTTTTATATATGGATAATGATTAATTAATGATTGCATTAGGGAGGCCTTTATATGTATGTATGTATATAGTCTTGACTATAGGGTAATCTATAGTTTGGACTATAGAGAAGTTTAAAGTCTGTAGTATAGAGCAGTCTATAGTCTCTCCTATACTATAGTATATTGTCTGAATAGACTTCAGAATAATCTATAGAATAATCCTTAGTCTAGAATATAGAGTAGTCTTTAGTCTGGACTATAGAGTAATCTATAGTCTGGACTATAGAATAATCTATAGTGTGGACTATATAATAATCTATAGTCTGAACTATAGAATAATCTATAGTCTGGACTACAGTATAGTCTATAGTCTGGACTATAGAATAGTCTATAGTCTGGACTATAGAATAGTCTATAGTCTGGACTATAGAATAGTCTATAGTCTGGACTATAGAATAGTCTATAGTCTGGACTATAGAATAGTCTATAGTCTGGACTATAGAATAGTCTATAGTCTGGACTATAGAATAGTCTATAGTCTGGACTATAGAATAGTCTATAGTCTGGACTATAGAATAGTCTATAGTCTGGACTATAGAATAGTCTATAGTCTGGACTATAGAATAGACTATAGTCTGGACTATAGAATAGACTATAGTCTGGACTATAGATTAGCCTATAATCTGGATTATAGTTGTTTATAGTGGGACTCACCTATTGGAAATTCCTTTAAACCAAATATAACAATTTCATTTGTTTTCTCCACAAACTCCTTTACTTCATCAATCACATCAATTAAGGGTCTCTGTCTCGTTATGCCGTGATTAATAAAAAACAATTCAGGAGTATTACGATAATAACCCACACGTATATCCAAATAACGTATACCATGCATTAACTGGCCCAATATATCATCATCTTGTGTTAGAGAATATTTGGTAACTAAAGTTTCTTTGGCTAAAGGATCAAAATTTACACGATATGAACCGGAATCATGACTGCCGGGTATAAAGAGATCACGAAAACGTAAACCGCCCACAATAGAACGCATTTCATTCATCCATTTGGGATAGGCGCGTAGACTGGTAGAAGCCAATATAGCACCATCACTGCCACGTACATATGAGGCCCAATAACCATACGAGGTGGTCTCATAGGTTACATTCCGTGAGAGGTTATAGTCGAAAGGAACACCGGTAGTAAACCACAATGAGGGGGCGCTAGGTACTAAAGCTGCTACTATGGGATTAGTACCGTTATTCGATATCCAATAGTGAATATCTTTGGCTTTATAGGGTGACTCGGTGGTTGTAGTGGTAGTGATAGGATTTTGATTAAAACCATCTCCACTGCCCTCCTGCATTTCTATATTGTTCGATTCTGTTGTTTTAAATTCTGCCATGGGCGGTTGCTCTGTTGGAATCCATTTGAGTTTTTGAAAACTAACCGGCTCTTCGGAAGTCAAAATTATACGATCATCTTCATGTGCAGGGGCATTTTTCCAAGATATTTCTAAATAACGCTTCTGAGCACTTATCGTTAACCACATTCGTAATTTTGAAGTATCTTGTTCATTCGATTTCGTTTCTCCACTCAATTCCCAATATGTATAATCACCATTTAATTCATCGCTCGAACATTTGCCCATATGTGTAATTGTAATGGAAATCAAAATGATTATTACATTTTTCATTATAAATTTATTAAACATTTCAAATTTAGTTTCTTTTTTTTTGTTTGTTTTTATTTTTACTTTAATTTTTTTTTAATCCGAATAATTGTAAACACTACACTTGATTTAATTCAATTTAAAAATTGTTTTTTGTCTTTAGTTTAATTTAGTTTAGTTTATTGACTTGATAATAGTTTGTTTTTCTGTAGCTTTAACTGTCCAAGTGGTCCTAGTGATCATTTCATTTTGTGACACCGTTTATTTTCAACTCGTTTATACACACAAGAGAGCTGACGACTGACTCACTCATTCACGACAACTCGTCTTTAACTGGATAGGAAAAGTTTCCAATTGTTTTTAATTTAAGTCAACACATTCGACTGAAACAATTCTATTCAGACGAGCCTCTATTTATACAGAAAACAATTACTATAAAACACTTCTCAACTGTTTGATAAATAAACAAAACTAAATCAAATATATAGAAAATAATCAAATGTCGCTACAAATGGCAGTTATGACCATAATTGCAAAATCTATACTTTACAAAATTACACTTTAAATTTCTTTGTTGAAACATTTTTAAACAAAACAAATTAAAAAAGTTTTACTTTCTTCTTCCTTATCTAAATTATTTTAGAGAAAGTTTTACTTTGTTTAATGAAAAGCTTGGAATAGTATTTACTAAATTTGGACTAGAACTTTTGTTTCACATTAACAGATGAAATTAATGATACACTCTTCTTCCCCTTCATCTTGGCAGCTCCTGCAGAAGTCATTACTGGGTAGGTTCAGTTTTCTAGCATTGAGCCCGAAAAGCCAATGGTCAGTCATCACTGCAGTTAAGTTCTGTAGATTTGCGCTCGGAAACTAAAGTAGGACTTCTATAGATATAAAAGATCGGCCACATGATCTATATCTATAGGTAGCCTCTATCGACAATCGTGCGCAAGCTTGTGGAGTTTATCATGAATCGAGCGTTTGCAGCATGAAAGCGTTATGCCGAGAAAGTCGATGTGCTCTGCTAGTGAGGAGCTGACGTTTGCGAGAGTGCCCGTAGTGGTGTTGTCAGGTATCTGTTGATGACCTGGAATCCAGTAAAGTCCTACCGCATTTAGGGAGCTCCGGCTTTCTAGAAACAAGTGCGATGTAGTATAAACACTACTTATAACCTTTAGGTTGGTCTGAATGATAATTCAACCTGAAGTACGCTTTATTGGTCAGGAAGATCGAAAAAAACTCCCGCCCCAGTATATTCTATACAGAAACCACCATCAAGACTTGTGAATATGCAGTAATCTGGAATTTCTCCCAAATAGCTGATAATGGTAAGGTGGCCTGACCGAGTTGAGGGCAACCTCTTGAGCTATTAGATCAATAGGTAACCAATTCATCATGACAAAAAGAGACTTTGATGTAGTAGTACGAAGGGACCCTGTTATCATTAGCGCTGATGCGCGATGGATTCTCACAAATCTCCAATCGTAAGGATTTCCACCAGACAAAGTGCACCATACAACAGTGGAATTTACTGACATGGTCAACTTTAAAATAAAGTTTGTTTGAAATATCTTAACCTAGAGCTTAAAACAGCTCGATCTTAGCAAATACAACATATTTTTAAACAACTTAAGCAGTTCGTTGTAAAATAAAGGAAAAATGTTGTCAAATGCCAGTATATAACAGATGTTAATCCGTTGACATAATGAACTTTCAAATGACATATCAGATGCTGTTAAAATATTTTAAATATACCAATAAAACCATGATATCTCAAAAAACAGATGTGATGGAGAAATTCTGAAATCAAAATTCCATATACGTTATATATAATTAACTGACATTTAATTCAAATGTTGATTGACACCTCAAAACAAAACAAAAATATGGCAACGCTAAACACAAAACCTCTAAATATGACGTCAGTAAATGCTTTGTTAAATTTAGCAAATATTTACAAACAAATTTCTCTATTGTTTATTAAATACATAATAATTTAGTTTTCTTTCTATTTAAATAGATAAGTTTATTATTTATTATAAGATTCATTCTTTGTAAATAAATTTTAGTAAAGTTAATAAATATTTGAAAAAAGTATGTATTTTTATAGTCTGTCCGTTTTCAATGCAAATTAATTAATGACAAAACATTTAACAATTTTCAATAATATATAAATATAACATAAAATAACAAATAAATACTCATCATCATGTATAGAAGTTGAACTTTTTCTTTTGCACCAACAATTTTTCATTGTTAATTAATTAACTATTTAAAGGCACTAATAATTTCTGGTAGAAATGGAATGTAAATAAGTAAATTTTAAACCATTAACAAATAAAATGGTTTATTAGCTGACTACAGCTGGTTTAGCAGAGGCTGCGTAATTACTAAATAAAAAATTCGTATTTGTTTACATGTGTTATAAAATTTATAATATTTAATAGAACAAAAACAAACAAAAAACAAGGCTACCAGATTTATTCATTAATAAACAGCTGTTTTCATTTGCATAAATAAATAGACATAGCGGCATTTAATTTGAAAATTACCGTTACTATTAAAACAATTATTTTTAGGTCATAGAAAAGCAGCCTCAGCACCAGGATTGGATGAGCTTGTCCAATCAGCTAGCCATCTTAAAGAACTTGATTACTGACACCACAAACAAACAACAATAACAAACAAACTGATCAACCAATGTCGATTTATGGAATGAAAGGATACGATTTGTAATTTGAAACGCAAACGCTTCTGGGACCATCTTGACTGAGATAAGTTAGCAAAGAATGCCATGTCCAGAAGATGGCCAGAGTTAGGAGAGGTGTAAACACCGAACCGACTCACTTTTCTGTATTCAGACAACGCTGCTAACCAACCAAGGAGTAACGGTGTGGGTTTTCTATCATCTACTAGAGCCCGGAAAGCTCTTGTCAGCTGAAAAACTCAATTTGACAGAATATGTACGCATATCAGGAAAATAACCATAACATAATGCAACGCGCCGACTAATGTGTCCGAGCTGAATCAGAAGGTAAACTTTTACGAACAGCTTAAAAGATAGACGGAACGTGGCGTGGTTAACTACTTGATGTAAGAAATAAAAAAGAGAAGCAGACGCGAGTGACTGGATAGCTGATCCGTCTAAAAATTGCACCCATAAGAAAACCCGACAACCCTGGGCAGAACAGAATATAAGGCCTTTGGATGTTAAAACAGTCAACCATAGTCGAGAAGGATTTCGACTACGCGGACGACATCTGCCTGCTTGCACACAGATACTCTGATATGCAGTATAAGATTAAAATGGTCGAGGAAATGACCGAAAGACTAAGGATTAACACAAGGGAACTATATCTTCTTAAGCGCTTTGGCGACACATCAAATTGGTTGCCTCAAACGGTAAGTTTTTTGGTTGTGTTAGTAAAAAAACTCACACCTCATATATACATGTGAGTTTTTTTAACTAACACAATTAAAAAACTTACCGTTTGAGTCAACAAATTTGATGTGTGGCCATGTCGCTTTAAACACCAAGCGATAGAAGATGTAAGCTCCATTTGTATCTGAACTGCACGATTACAATAACCGGTGTTTCATCCCAGGACATGAAGTGCAGACTGGACAAGGCATTTAGCTTTAGCAGTTCAACTTTGACTTAAATTGTATCCATTTAGGTCCCCTCGCTTAAAATAGTAAATACTACCATTGTAGAGTTCAAGCTAGTCCAAACAAAGAGTGATCAGTTACTGATCAGAACATATAAATTGATCGATTATGATTTCATAATTTGTGCATGCAGACCTCAATATTCCAGCAATGAGCGATGATCAAGGCTTCAAGAAAAGGTGTTAAATATTCGACTTTCTCAACTATATCTACCGCTGATCCTGAACTTTAGTTACTTGTAAAAATAAATCAAAACCAAATTTTGTTAAAAATATTATGATTTCTAAATCGAAGTTGCTTATAACTATATGCTAATGGCAATTAGTAAAATTAAAAAAAAAAATGGTTAAAATAAAGTTCCACTTCACCGTTAAATTAAATTTTAATTCACATTAATATATTTTCGCTTCAGAACTTTTAATAATTTAAATGAAATTGTTGAATGTTCGTCATTTAAAATTGTTGTTTAATTTTAGAGTAAATAAAAAAAAAACTTCACAACTTATTTGTTTTAATTAAATTATTACTCATTGTTTTTTTAGAAGTTATGGGGGTTTTTAAAATTCTATTATTTTTTTGTTTTTGCTAGCAATTTTTTAATTATATAGTTTTACAATTTATAATATCCGTTTCCGGTTTAATTTAATTGTGTGAATTTCATTTTTAGTTAGTTGCTTTTGTTATTGTTAAATATGAATTTTGATTTAATTCTTTTGTTAAATAAAATTTAATCCGTTCTAATGCAAGTTCAATACACTACTAAAATCTCTTTTATCTTTTGGAATTTATTTAAAAGGTTTTTTTATCCCAGAGCTGCACTGATTGTTTGTGATCTTCTTGCACTCTTTTCAATTGTGAGGGAGAGTAACTTCCATAGACATAACTACGTTTTGTATTTTCATACTGTTTTCTCCCCTTGATGGATCATTAATTGTAAATTGACTCTCTTTTTTTTTTAGATTGGGATACTTTATAAAAAAATTAGGTCTGCTTTATTGTTTATGGTGTAACTTATTGTATAAATGATTTAGTATGATCATTTATTTTTAGAGATCATGTAGAGAAGATTCAAATCTTAGCACACTACAAGAACAGTGTCAGATATACATAAATGAACGCTTCAATAGACAATTGAGGCATCCAATTATTCGCTAATATAGATACATATATGTATGTACATTAGGGTGGGTCGAAAAAAAAAGTTGAGTCAGTCACCCCCTACGATTAAAGATATGTTAATAACATTTCCAAAAATATGAAAAATATTTTTTTGCCACGCCTAGAAATACCGCCCTTTTTGTTTTTTATACATTACGCCGCCATTTTTAGTCCGATCGTAACATATCATATATCAATATTTATGGCTTGACTTTAGCTATATTTCACTCTTAGACAATTTTTTATTTCGACGTCATATTCTTTGCGCGACTTCTGATATCTCGGATCCTTCCCCAAAATATAAAATTGTGACTATACTGGAATAAAGTACATTTAATTACATAAAATATAGGCTTTTAAAATGCTCACTTTTATGCATAAAGAGCTATTTTACAGGTATTTAAAAATACCTGTATAGTTCAAACTACAAACAATTAATTTGTTAGGGATATGGTCGAAAACAATTTTTTTCAAATTAATTTACAATACAAAAATTGCATCCTACCCCTATCTTAACAAAAGAAAGATCATTTTATTCAGCATTTACTTCTATTAATTAATAACAAAATCACGTAGGTACATAAAAATTTAACATTTTATTTTATAAAAATCGATGAAAAATTAAAGTGTTATGCAAAGTTTTACAAAAATGTATGAAAAACATTTTTTCCATACAACCACTTGCATGTTTCTTTTTTTAAGAATTTTTAAAAATGTTTATACTAATTTTTATAAAATGTGATAAATTTATTTTATGATTCTTTTAAATAGTTACATATTTCTAAAGAAGTTCTTTAAATAATAAAAACTAATAAAAAACGAATAATCGGGAATGGCCGACCATATAAGCATAACTAAAATATGATTTATGTTTTAATATAGCATTTATATTGAATTTTGTCTTAATTTCCATATCGTCACCTGAAACGCAAACGGCCCTAACTAACCAAAAATTAAAAATCGATTTTATTGTTGATTATAATGTATTGCATCAAAACATATGTCCACACAAAAAATTGGACTCCTCCGACCAAAATTAACGATTTCATTGACAAAAAACAAAAGGCCCTATCTACAAAAACATTTAAATATTAAAGGTAAAAATTCTAATTTATCCATTTTTATATACGCCATTGTCAACTATCATAATAACTAATAGGTTTCACTATTAAACAATTTGTTTATTCACTAGAAATAAATCGCGTTCATAGAAACAAATTTTTCAATTTCAATAGTTTTTTGCTTCTCCTGTAAAATTTTAAAAATGTTAGATAGGGCCGTTTGCGTTTTAGGTGACGATATACTATTTGAGTAACTTTTTGATGAAAAACTGATTTTCTGAAAGAGACTATATATGGGAGCTAGGATCAAAACCGATCCTATAAACATTTGGTGGAGGGTTTTATGTTCTTATAAGAGATAGATATGAAGAATTTCATCCTAATTGTACTGTTTAAGAGGGAATTAACGACCTTGAAGCCATTATTAAGAGCTCCAAAGCCCTATTCGGGGAGTACGGTTGTATGAGGGCTAGGGGAATAATCCATTTTCGATATAATCCATATTCAAACAACTTCGTCCTTGGGTAAAATGAAATATATCAGCCTATTTGCATCCAATTATCTGGAAAATTTCGACTTGTAGTTTGATTACAAGTCGGATGGACAAAGCTAAACTACTATAGTGCTGTAAGATATAATAAACTTTCCTCTTTTTTGATAGGAAGTAGGATCTGGAAGGGTTTGTAACTGAAAAAATAACAGTTTTATAATTCATTTTCAAAAAAAAATGTTTTCGACGGTTTTTTCTGGTAAATTAATTATTTGTTGTGATAACGGTTGATAATGAATATATGAACATTTTTAAATATCTATAAAATAGCTGTTTATGCATAAAAGTGAGCATTTCAAAAGCCTATATTTCATATAATTAAAAGCTCTTTATTACTGTATAGCCACAATTTCAGATTTTGGAGAAGGATCCGAGATATCAGAAGTCGGGCATAGAATGTTATGTCTAATTTAAAAATCGTCTAAGGGTGAAATGTAGCTACAGCCAAGCCATAAATATTGATATATGATATGTTACGATCGGACTTAAAAT